GGATGCAAGTCATCAAGTCAGCAGCCTGTGAACCAGGCGGGCAACTGAACTCCTCTGTGGCACTACTTATTTTTAGAAATAAATATCACTTGATAATGAAGGTAAATTCACTGTGTATAAGCAGGCGCAGTTCCAGTGACCAAAGAGGAAGGTGTATGTGTATTGCATCAGAGATAAAATGTCCCTGAAATTTAACCAGCCATTTCAGAACTGATGTTTCTTATACCAACAGAGCAGCAAGCAATTGTTGGGTCATAAAGCAATTATTCTGATTTTCAAGCTGAAATAAGAACAGTACTGAGAATTTTAGGTCAAGCCCTTCCATAATGGAAACACATATCAGTGGTTGGAGGCATGGTGAGACACAGAGAGACTAACTGTACGTTTGATCAATTAGTTGTACTTGGGTGCTACTTGCCTGTAATCAGTCTGGGGATTTCAGTCCCCAGAAAAACTGAGCTGAACAGATGCTGAGTCCTTGACTTAAATTAATTCTGCTCAAATGAATGTACCATACTCTACTTAAATCTGTGTCATTAAGCACCTCTGACAGCATTTTAGCAGGTGTTTAGCACGAAAAATAGATCGATTGAGGGAAGGGGAGAAACAAAGAGTAAAACCAGTGCAGTGTGTTTAATCTCTATCTGGTATAATTATATTTAAGACTAAAAAGGCTTCATTTAGGACTGTGTGTGAAAGCAACACAGCAGTGTGCTTCCAACTACTCTGATTCTCAGCTTCACTTACGTCGAAACGAATGCAGGTGTACAATAGCTCTCATCTTAGTCCTAATACAGTCAGCCACAAAACTCACAGACTCTAAGAGAAGCCAGATGTGCACTCGAGTCTTCTGTAAAGCTAGCAAACAAAATAGGTTACCAGTCTGAATCCTAGATCTGTAGGCTTTTTTTCTGTTAGGTTGTGAGCTGCAAAATACAGTGGCAGCTACCAACTAAATCTCCAGGTGGGTCAATTTCCCTTTTTTTCTCTTTTCTTTCTTCTTTTATCTTATTATTAAACAAGGTCTTTACTTTATTCCTGAGCTTACTAGCCAAACCTGTGAGAGTTATGCCCGTGGAAGGAAATAAATGCATTTCTTGAACACACAGTCTTTAGTAGTACATAGTCATTAATAGTAGTTTCTTAGAGATTCATGACAAACCACACTTTAATATCCCTCCCTCAAACCAATAGTTGTATTTTGATTTGTGATAGAATGGCTTTCATTGTAGCAAATGCAGTCAGAATATGAAGACTGATACAAGGTCTGACTTTTTTTTTTTTTTTTTTTTCCCACAAAATCTCCTTAATTTAATTGTATGATTTATGGGAAATAAGATTATGCATTGCTTCAAAGCAGTGCCATATGGCAGCCTATATCATCTATCTACGTAACTCTATGATGCTTAGTGGAAAACCATTACCAATATCTCTTTTCAATACCCACTCAAATAATATCTTGTTGCCAGCATAAGCACCACTTTCCTCTACACATTGATTTAGTGGCACTCTTAGGGCTTTAAGATTTGGATTGAGCTTCTAAATCTGCAGTGTACTGATAATTCAGCAATTAACTTTATGCTATAGTTTAAATCATATTTAATGAAAATAGTGACATTATATTTAGCTATCTGTCTCTAGAGAGATCTGATTCATAGAGCTGATAAAAAAACAAAAAAACAAACAAAAAAAACCCTACGTTATTTCTGATGTGAAGAGGAGATTTGATTTTGTGAGAGGATTTGGGGTGGATTTTTTTTTTTTATTATTATTCACTGATTTATAAAGAAGCTGAGGTGGAAGCATCTGGAACAGATTGCATCTAGTTTATGCCTCAGTAAAGGCAGCCACAATTTTTGATTTTGATAATAAACAGTGAATTCTATGTTCTTGTAAGTTTAAAAATCTTCCCCAAACCTTCTGTACAATGGAAGTTATCTCAAGATTTTATGAACGCATTCATGAATATTAATATGGAAAAATGTATTTCTTCAGCGACTAAATAAGTGATAGCAATAGAAATTATTCTTCTGCTAGAAAATCATTTATGAGATTTTGCAGGCATGTACATAACCTAGTTTGCCAGACCTGAAACTGTACTAACTGGCACGTTCTTCCCTGCTAGATGAAAGTGGCTTTGCATATGCTACATATAATGTTTGATTCATGGACAAGTCAGTGAACTACCCGGGTCCTCTGTGGCAATGAATTACTCCCAGTGTGAGTAGGAGCTTAGACTGATAAGGAATGATCATAATGTAAAGTTCTTTAACTCTTTGTATGGGAACACACATACAGCCTGCTTACCCATTGCAGCAAAGACATACTAACAAGGCAGCCACATTCCCTTGGCACAAATGAATAAAACTTTTGCTTAATGTTTCTTCTGTTGCCAAAACTCAGTGTCCAAGGGACCTTGAGTTAGGACTGTAAATATGGCTCAAGGATTAGAAACCCTGAAGGCCTTTTCCCCTCTGTTGTATCCACATGAGGATGTGTCTCCATTAAAGCTCTACAAGGAGATAGTCACCTTTCATTAAGGTAAAAGCAGCTGTTTACTGTTTTCATTGATTTCAGTATGATGTTCCTACAGGTAAGGTCAAAAAATACTTCAGTCTTATGAACACTTCAGTCAATGTATTTTAACTCTGAAGTGCCAGTTTAATTTAGTGGGAAGATTTGCCTTCATCATTGGCGTATTCTGCAAGTTTCATATGAGTTGGTTTTGTTTTGTTTGTTTTCTTGCTTTTTTTCTTGTTGTTTTAGCTTGTTTGTTTTAGATTTATGGAGAAGATTCTGGATTAGAACTTTGAAAATGAAGTTATCTGGACCCAAAATAGGATGTAAGTTGTTCAAAACCTGCATAGTTTGTACCTAAGTGAAGTTCATTTACCAGGTTGAGATAAAAATCTTGTGTGTTTTATTTTTTCCTCAGCAATGTTGTGCTTGGAACAAGATGGCATTCAAGTTTTCCATTATATTTAATTTAGAAAAGTGAAGATGCTTAAACAACTTTATTTTTTCCTATTCTGAGATAGCACAGAAAATAAACTGTGCCTAAGCTTTCGTGTTTGTTTCAACAAAATAAGATATACTGACAGTGCTGCAGCTCAGCACCCGAGCACAGCAAGGAGCGCCTTTGCTTTCCCCAGCTTGAAGCAGCAACTCTGAGCCATGCAAAATCAGGACACTGCACAACACCGGGTCATGCAGCCTGTGACTACAAGAGTTGTTTTAGTGTGAACAATCAGGCCCAGGGATTCTGTGCTGAGGTATATAAGTGGCGTTCTTTATTTATTTGGGCTGTTACGCATGCCTTAGTCAGGCAACTGTAAATAAGGTTTTATCTTGCTGCTTTCAGGCCGTTTATTGTCCTGGAGGAACAGCTCAGGACTGTGGGAATTCCTGGGCTGTTTGTTCACTCCTGATTTTGGAATGGCAAATTCAGGAGTTGTCTTCCTCGTGCCTTCAGATGCCTATGCCTTCAGATCACGGGAGGGAGAGTCTACTCCACTGAAATCCACTCCTTGCTGGATGAGGACATGGTGAGCTTCAGAGTGTGGGAAATTCCTCTCATGTTGCAGTGCAGGCTTCAACTAAGGGAAGGAGCTTGAAGGCGTTTTGTTTAATTGATAACTACTACAACAAGCCAACTGTTTGCTTTTACTATTCTCCTACCTTCAACGTTTAACCTCTGTTTCACTAACCAGGCAGTAAACCACGAGAGTGAAAATAACCCCCCACCTAACTTCTAGCCACTTCTATTTGGATCCGTGGCACAGTAGGGCTGTTGTGTCTGGGGGGGAACCAGCTAGGTAGAGCTGCAGCCTCCCAATGGCTTTCTGTTAGCTCTCACAGTTGTTCCTGTCAGGAGACAAAATAGAGGATGATACCAGATCTTTCATTTCAATGCCTGGGTTTGTTGATGTTTATTAAAGAGGACCACCTGACTGTGTGTTTTGTATGCCAGGTGCACATCATTCAGCAATTCTGTAATCTGTTTCACTCAAAGCAGTATTTCAGAAAGTTAAATGTGCAGTAATAGAATGTGCCTTCATCTTATTGGCCCAGATTCACAGAAAGGGAGAAAGTGAGGAGAGATCACTTGAAACACTGGGGAAGCTCATTTTTCTCCCAGGATGAACTAAAAATCTTGCTTCGTACTGCTCAAGATGCATGCAGAAAAATCTGGGGTGTGAAACGTGTGATAAATCACCACCATCCCTGCAAGAGCAATGATAAAAAGCCCTTCTCCTCGAAGGGAGCATTGTGAAATTGGCCATAAAGTACGTAGATGGTTTGCGGTGGTGCAGACTGCGTACAAACACAGGGAGGTGCTTTCCTGCAACATCAATACCGATGTTTTTCAGGCACCCCCCCCCTTTCCCCCACCCTCAACAGATGATTTGCAAGCAGCTGCTTCAGCTCTTCCTTACGCTGCGGTGCTGCGGGATCTATCTTTGTCCTGTCGAGGATGCTTTCTGCTGCCCCTCACCGAGCACAGCAGACTGCTTGTGAAGCCACAAAGCGTGCTCTTGGGTCGCATCCCGCTCTTTGTAGGGAAACAAACCCTCTCCCAATCGACCATCAACAGGTGCTGCGCGCACACGTGTGCCAAACTTTCCCCCAGCTGCCGCAAGTAGCTGCCCACGGGAAGAACGAAGCCGTTTGGCTGCGGGGAACAAAGGCCCAAGAGGGGCACAAACAGTCACAACGCGGCAAGGGGACTCGGCAGCGGTTCGCCGATTCCTCGGGGGTGCGGCCGCAGGTGGGGCTTCCTCCTGAAGGGTCGGCAGGCTGCGGCCGAGCCCCGCGCCCGACCCGGGGTCGGTGTGCGCGCCGAGCGGGGAGGCGGCAGGGGCGGTTTTTAACCCCTTACCCGCCGGGCGGCTCCGGAAGCGGCGGCCCCTCGAGGCGCGGCGCCGTGTCCTGTGCCCGGGCGGGGAGGGCCGGCGCAGGGTGGGGGCGAGAGCGGGGCGGGGGGGCCGCGGGAGCCGCTCCCTCCTCGCCCAGCCCGGCCCGGCAGCGGGAGGAGGGCGCAGAGCGCAGACATGGCGGCCAACATGTACCGAGTGGGAGGTAGGTGGCGGCGGGGCAGCACCCGCACGGCGACCGCGGCTCCGCGTCCCGCGGCGCTCCCGACCCGCCGGGCTGAGAAGGGGCTCGCCGCTCCCCATCGCTTTCCTTCCGCAGCGCCGCGGCCTCGAGCGGCGCACCCGAGCTCGACCCGGGGGGAAGCGCAGGACGCGGGTTCTTCCCCGCAGCCCCGCGCGCAGGGTGGGAGGCCGCCCCGCGCCGAGCGGCGCAAGGGCAAAGCTGCCCGCCGCAGGGAAGGAAGGAAGGGGGAGCGGCGCCGCCGGCTTCTTCCCGGGCCGGGCATGGCATGGCCGCCCTTCGCGCCTCTCGCGGCGGCCGTGTGGGCTCGGGCGGCCTGGCGGGCGCTGCGCCCCCGGCCCTCTGGCACGGCGCGGCCCGGCCCTGCTGCGGCCTGGCGGGCCCGGACGGCGTGGTGCGGGCGGGCAGCACGGGGCCGTCCGTGGGCGCTGCGCTGGGGGCCGCGCCTCGGAGCTCTCCGAGTTCCTGCGCGCCTCCCCGCATCTCCTGGAGATGAATTGCGCATCGGTACGGGTAGATGGAGGGATCTGCCGGCTCGGTGGTAGATGGCCGCTTGGTATACGGCGGGAGCGAGGAGTCTCTTGGGAGCGAAAGAAACATTGGATTTTCCATCCCCGGCCTGTCGAAATTGACTCCGATAACTTTCCATCCCCTCCTCCCCCGCCGTGGAACGAACGTGGCTGTGTTCCGGTTCTGCCGCTCAGGTGCATTGCAGAAGTTTACTTTTCATTCCTGGCTCCTGTTCCTTGCCAAGCGCGATGCTAGCAGGGAGCCGTGTCCTCTCTTCCATCTCTTCAGTCTCTTTCTGTGTCGGATTCAAGGTGTGCTGACATACCCACAGCTCGCCCTTCTGCACACTCCTTCATCGGGGCGTTGAGGCTGTAATCCCATCAGCCTTTACTCATTGCAGTAATCCCTACCCGAGCAGTGCTGTTGATGTCTTGGTTGGGTTCGTTTCTTAGATCATTGAGTTTATTTGTCGTAACTTTAAGGGTGGGCGATAACCAGAGAGAGATCTTCCTTCAGTGCTATTTGAAGTACCTGAGGCTCTACCTGGCTTTAACCTCACATCAAACCAAAAGGTTTTTTATGTCCTTGTTCCTCTCACTCCCTTTTCTTTTTAAGTAAAACTTGTGAGACACATCGTGCAGAAGTCAGATACGGAGTGCAGAGTGTGATCATCGTTTGATGGCTACTTTTTCATTTGATACAAGTTTTGAGAAACCTATAGGAGATGTTTTGTGTGTTAGTTTTTTTTTGTTTGTTTGTGTGTTCCTTGGGAGTAGCTTTTAGGATGTGAGCAAATTTCCATATATTCTGTGAGAATACTTTTACAGTAATGACCCTAGAAGAGATTTTGGCACAGGATAACCTCACAACTTGAGGCTCTGTTATGGTTGAATGTAGTTTACGTGTTACTGAGGAGAGAACAACGAAGCCAAGTATCACAATATGCGCATTACTCGTCTGGACAACTGTGTTACTGAAGCAATGGGATAATGAATGTGAGGTAGCATATGTTACACAGGTATTATTTCTATAATCTAGAAACTCATTAAGACCTCTCTTCTTAAATCTCCCTTAATGACAGAATGGTTGAGGTTGGGAAGGACCTCTGCAGGTCACCTGGAGGTCACTCTAGCTTCAGAAAAACTTTTGCACAAAAAAATATATTTTTAGCTGTGTTATTTTTTTAATTAATACAATGTCTTTCTTTCTTTCTTTCTTTCTTTTTTTTTTTTTCATTGCAGATTATGTTTATTTTGAAAATTCCTCCAGCAATCCGTATCTCATTAGGCGAATTGAAGAGCTTAACAAGGTACACAAACATCCAAGGCTCCTGCTTAGTTTTCAGCAACTGTCAGTGCACTTTTCCAAAACCAAGGGTGACTTCAACATCCCAAAAGATTTCTGTTTTCTGAATCCTTTTTTACTTCCTTGAGATTTGTTCTGCGTTTGTTTGTATTTCAGTTATTAAAATACTGCCATGTGATAAGCTGGAATTCTACCCTGTTATCTAAGGAAACGCCCAGTTTATCATTCTCAGTGAACAGGAGTTCCCTGATGTTTAAAAAAAAAAAAAAAAAAAAAAAATCCAAACCAATCATGTGGATGATTGAGGAAGTTACTAAATTTAATTCTTTTCATGATGATGACACTGACTCCATCTGGAGTGATGGCAATAATGTAATGTACCTGCTTCTGGATACCTATGTAAAGAGCTTGTAGGTGTCAGTGAGACTTTACAGCGATCCAGTAACAATATGTAGCTCCCATGCATGTTTCTTACGTTGCTTTTTTGTAGCTTCAAATGGAAGATTGTGAATTGAAATTGATACTGTATTCTCTTTCTTTGCCCCCAGTGTATTTTCATATGGGGGATGGAGATTTTTCAGTGTGTGGGAAAAGCATGAACATTTCTTAGTTCTTACACTACTGTGACTTTTAGAAATAATAAAGCAGTGTGGTTGTTTTTTTTTTGTTTGTTTGTTTTTTACTATTCCATCAAGCAATATTATTAATTACTAATCAACTGTGATATAAAAAGTTAATGTGCAAAATGCTTATCATGATGTTATATATATATATAACATATATTTGGCTATATATATATAAATATATATATTTGGCTAATTTATCTTGTAAGCTGAAGTTAATTTTAAAACACACCATGTTATATAAAGTATGACTCTAGAAAAAAAAAATGTTGAAAGTATACACTTGTTGATATCCCCATCTCAGTCTAAAACTAGATTATATATATGCTTATATTTAAGTCTTTGCAAGGTTCTACTGCTTCTTAGGTATTATGTTAGCATGATATTGGTGTTACGTCCCTTAGTTGCTGAGTAATGCGTGTTACCATATGAGTAAATATTTATAATCAGTACTGTAATTTGATATGAAATTGATTAGCCCATGTCAGGAAGCAGTTTCTGCAATTCTATTTCAGTCTGGCTATTCATGTAAGAACTGCTTAATACAAGGGAAAAATGCAAGTGGGGGACGTGCAGTCTGTGTTACTCAGCTGAGCAAAGACACACTCTGATTTAATTTATCTTTTGTAGACTGCTAATGGAAATGTGGAAGCAAAAGTGGTGTGCTTCTACAGGAGAAGAGATATTTCCAACAGCCTCATAATGCTTGCAGATAAGCATGCTAGTAAGTAGACTGCATGAGCATTTTCTCTTTCTATCACAGCCTGCTCGCTTTTTTGCACTTCAAATTTCTTTGGCATGAGTAAAGTATATTTATATTAAGCATTAATTAATACCCTGTTAGATTCTTATTGTTATCTGATATTGGCCCCGTTTCTGGAGGTTGTTTCTTGGAGCTTTAAACTGTACTTAAAGTGAGGGGAACTCTCCATTTCAATGCTTTTTTTTTTTTTTATATATATATATGGAATAGCTAACTATATTTCTTTTTTATGTCAAAAGTGCATATTGGGTATAAGTCATTTTAAGCTTTAGAGCATTGATGGCAATTTGATTTGACTTGGGTCAGGCATAAATACGTCTAGAAGGTCTATTGTTAAGATGAAAGTGTATTCCAAGGGAGTGAAAATCACTGCACATTGTGAAATAGCTATGACGTGCACTTGTTGGAACCAGCTATTAATAAAATACCACCTTGCTGGTTTGTTTTTTTTGTTTTTTTTTTTCAGAGAAGCAGTGAAGTGATGGTAACAGGGAGAAACTGTTGTATATACTTAGCTGTTTGTGGGAGCTGCCTTTTGGTCAACAGCTGAACCACTAGACTTCTCTGCAACATTGTAGCTAATGGTGTGATACACTGTTAAATAACAGCTCAGTTATGAATGAGGTTTCGGAATTATTGTATGTGTAGTAAGCCTCCATTCAGAAATTTATCTGAGTGCCTCTCTTTAAAAAAGTGATCTAATGCCACGTCTTGTGGGCAGGTAAATGATGGATGATGGGACTGTTAAGAAAATACCTTACAACTGACTTCAGGTCAAATTCTGATAAGTGTTACTCGTGTGTTCCCACAGTGAAGAGAAACAGCTAGGTTTTGGCTTTTAATTTGCTCTTTCACTGATTTTATCTAAATCACTTCCAATTCACCGTGTAGCACAAAGTACTAGCTTGGTTTTAAAGCAAGGAGAAATCACATACACAAAAAGGTAATTTCTATTTCTTTTCAGAATGACATTTTCTAAATGTAGTACAGTGTTTCAATGGAAGAATTCTTTTGATAATGATCTAGAAGAGTGATGCAAGTGCTGTTGCACACACTTGAGAATTATTGTTGACCTATTTATGATAGTCCACCTCCAGTGTCATCAGTCTTTTCAGTTCTTCTGTGTGAAATATATAGAAACGTAGAACTTAAAGTGAGTCTCATTGAACTTTCCCACACTTCTTTCTCTTTTCTGTGCCAGGGAAGGGAAGTATGAGAAAGCAAGTTATTTTACTGAAAATATACGTTTTGAATTTGATTTTTGAAACAAGAATCTTCAGCTCCTACTTTAAAGTGTTCCAAGAAACAAATAAAATAAATGGTAGTTCTCTTGGCATCGTTCAATCTGAAAAAGTGAAAAAAGATTTTGTAACTCCTCAGTGAGGTATAGATTGCCATTTTGTCAGCACTTCAGCACAAAGGACTTGCTGATGGTCCTCTTTCTCTCTGGTAGCAGCTAGCACTGCTGTGGAGTCAGTAGAAGCACCAGGGGAGTGTTCTGCTGTGCTTTCCATATTGAGAATCCCTTGCTGTTTTCAAGTGAGAAAATAAAGATGTGATTTCTATCTGATCCAAAAAGCCTCTTTAGAATGCCTCTATGTTTTACAGGTAGTAATTCTTATAACCATTGTTCTTAGCATTTAATTTTCTCCGTAGATGCCTTCTCAGTACACGATGCTTTCCTTCTGACCAATCTGCACAGCTAAACTGTCTTATGACCTGTTTATTTCGTTACAGAGGATGGCACATAGTGTAAAATTGCTGGACTGCATCTTTGTGCAGCTCACACAGCAGATGTATTTAAATGTCAAATCAATTTAAATGTTTTGTTTCTGAAATATCAGTGTTCTGTTTAAAAAATATGATGTACGTAAACAAAATATTTGGATATTTGTGGACAGAATGTTTATACAACTGAACATGCTGGTGCTTCAACATTTCTACCTGGCTTTGTTTAAAGATGAAGGCTGAAAGACAAGGATTTCTGGTGAAATGGAAGTTCCTGTCTAGTCACAGGTTACTCCAATGTGCATGTCCAGAGAAGTCTCAGCTATATATCTGCTTGAACTTTTCTAATGACATTTTCTCTAACAATTGATTGTTACTTTTCCTTTCTGAATGTTGAAAACTATCGTGACTGACATATATTGTGAGATTTTTAGTTGGGTAAAAGGCTGGCTTTTTTTGGGCAACATCACTGTTTACAGAGGTGGCGTTTTGTGATGTAGATACAGGTTCTGTCTAATAAGCTGAAATGCCTTGATAAGAAAATATTTAGGAACTTTTGTCTTTTTTTTTTTTTTTTTTTCCCAGTAACTTGAAAAATCTTCAAACGTATTTTAAACAAATTGAGTGATTTAGGTCTGTGAAATGGTCCTGGTAGGGAATTCAGCATACTTAAAGTCTTTTTAAAAATTTAGTAAAATATATGTATATATATATATATATATATATATGTATATAGAAAAGATGAAGGGGAGAGTAGGTGTCCTGATACTCAGGTATAGGGGAGTTCCCTTAATTTCAAATAACCTGCCTCTAACATATGAGAAAATTGGTTTTCTTGGTTTTCTTGGTTTTTTCTTTCTTTTCTTTCTTTTTTTTCTTTTTTTTCTTTCTTTTTTTTCTTTTTTTTTCTTTTTTTTCTTTCTTTTT